CTGTTTAAAATTGACTTTTGTCCTCATCACAGACTTGAGAAGGAAGTCTCTTTGGCCCCATTTTACTAAGAAAAAACGGACTTTCAGAAAGGTGAGTCCGCTTATCCAAAGTCACAGTAAGAAGAGAGGAAATTCCCAACAAGTAAGCTGGACACAGTGAGGTCTGAATGATAGGGCCCTCCCCAAATGCCCACTCCCCACAAACGTGTCCTTTTTGGTTAAAGGACTTTGGGTTTTCAGGTGTGAAAGGCCCCAGACATCCATTGCTCACGTTCCCAGAATACTTGGTTGGGGATCTTTGCCTGCAGGAGTTCATGAGTCCTGCAGATGAGGATCTTGGTGGAATGTGTTGCAAAACACACTAAAGGAAGCCCTGTGGCACAGTGATTCAATCCATATGTTACCTTAAGTAAACAAGAAACTTAACTTCTAGGTGCCAACCACAATTTCACCCTCTGTAAAATGGAGTTATGTTATTACCTGATGGAGTTGCCATAAGAATTAAGTGTTAATTCAAATGAAAGACCTATGGCAATCTCTTTATCCTTAGGTAGGGGGTAGGGGAGCTGGAATAGTGGCCATTTCGATTACTCTGCCACCTTGATTTGGGGTTCAGAAATTATTGCTCTTTTAATTACCATCTCCATTTTGCAGAATAAGAAATGGAGACCCCAAGGGAGCTGAAATCCTTTCCCAGCATTTCCTTCTGGGAGTCTCTTAAGGAATGAGGCTATGGATAAGAACATCTAATTCTAGAAACTGGCCTTCATGGTACCCCTGCACCTCACTCAGGTTCTCAGTTCTTGGGAGAATAAGTAAACAAACAGAAGATCTCACCTACCACCAAGGTCCTGGCCCAGTGGCCTGGGTACCTAACAGAATCACCTGCTCAAAGTTCTTCCATATGTTACCAGTGCTGGTAGAAAAGCTCTACATTCCTGTTCTAGGCAGCCAGCATCCATCAAAATTTGTCCCCTGCCTGCCCTCCTCTGTCCTTCCACATGCACATTTGACATGATAGTGACAAAAACATTAGACTACTGGGAATTCCCAGGATGAGCCAGATTCTTTGTACCTGCTGACTGCACATGTTCTCTGCCCTGTTTGGAACACTTCCCCTTCCTGTCTTCTCTGCCCCAACACACACATACATGCACATACTCATTCTTTCTCCCTCCCCCCAACCTCCCTCCAAATGTTTGTTTGCCTGGAAAATGTCTCCCTTCAAGTCTCAGCCCAAAAGAAGTGTGCATCACACTTGGAAACTCCTTGCCCAGTGTTCCCTGCATCTGTACATTTTCCCCCTAAAGTGATGACCACACTGTGTTACTTCTCAGTGCCCTCACCTGACCATGCTCTTTGTGGGCAGGGCTGGAGTGTTTTTTGTCTGTGTCTTGGCAGCCAGCCCAGGGCCTCGGCCCACAATACATCCTCAGTAAACATGGGGAAATGAATGCACAAGTGAAGGAACCATACTTGTGCTAGCAGGACAGAGATGGCACAACCCCAGGAGTCAGTTTGTTAAACTGGCAAGAACAGAGTAACAAACTTTGGGGTTATCCAGCCTCCAGCTGTCCTTCTATTGAGGGACAGTGGCCTAGAGCACACAATGTGTTAGAGGCAGGGACAGAACGCAAGGCCAGGTGTTTTGGCTCTTGGCCATGGGCTCATTTCACTACTTCAGCTCAAGAGATGTTTGCAGCTGCTCCAAGTAACTCTCCAGGAGACCCTGCTGGCAGTTCCATCTCTAACACTTGATTTTTCTCATTCCCAGTTGCGAAAATTTCAGTGGAACTAACCAAGCCTCAGTTCCCACGTATGTGTAATGGGAAAGACTCTCAGGGCTTTAGGAGGGCCCAGAGTGATCAGGATGTTGGGGATGGGGACAGTGAAGGGTGTGCGTAAATACTTGGCTCTGAGGTCAGCGGAGCAAGGTTTGAATCTCAGCTTTGCTCATTGACCACTGTGTGACTTGGAACAAGTGTCTTTCCTTCTCTGAGTCTCACTTCCTCATCTGTAAAATGAACAAGATGAAGCTAACCTCACCTGGAAGTGAGGATCAATCAGGCATGCCATGCCCTGAGCTCAGAACTGGGCATATAGTAGGTGCATAATAATTGCTGGTAATCATCACTATTATTATCCCAGAGTGCTTTTCCCCACTTCTCTCACCCTTCTCTCTACCAAGAACTTACCTGGCCCCTCCTGGCAGACATGCTCAGTTTTAGTGACCTTTAGTTAGTCTGATAAGGGAATGCCCGCGCATGGCCTGAAGGTACCACCCTACCCAGATAACTATGTTTGCCTGACAGCCCTTGGTGCCTTAACCCCCAAAGAGCAGCAGAAAAGAAGTTAGAGTGGATAGGAGACGTAGTCTTTGAGCAACACTAACACCAACCTCTGTGTATTCTGGTCTCTCTGATTCCTCCCTGCACCCGTGAGAGTCTCTGTAGATTTTTTTCTAATAAACAAATGTGGTAAACAAGGCTCACAATTGAGAGTTTGGTTGCAACCCTACTCTTAACTGGGAATGAAGAAAATCAGCTCCTGTACACCCTAGCTGTGCAGCCTCAGGCAGGTCAGCTGACTTCCCTGAGCCTCAGCCCCCTCATCTGGAAAATGGGCATACTGTGCGGTGGCCAGCCTAGCGCTGGACCAGGAGCCAATAGCAACGAGTAAGAGTAAGAGTTAGCCTGTCACTGAGAGAACAGACCCCAGGAGCCAGCCTATGGCCCTTCAGATGTAAAAGAAGCCACAGCCACCTCCCCTCCCTGCCCTTGAGGAAACCCCAACCAGAGGTCTAAGTGTTTACAGCCCTCTTTGGCAGGGGAGGGTTACGTAATGCCAGATGTTTGTGAAACTGGCTCAGGCCCAGGTCTGAGACACACTTTGCAATCCCAGAGTCCCTTGAAGGCCTTCTCCCTCTCCCCCCACCTGGCTCCCCTTGGCCCAGGGCTGGCTGGCAGGAAGTTGCTGATTGGAAGCTTTCAGCTATATGAATTATTCCATCATCCTTCACCCTGAAAACCAATTTTCCTCCAGCCCCACTCACTTGTAAAAACTGAGGGAGTTCAGGCAGCACCTGTGGCTCAGTGGGTAGGGCGCCAGCCCCATATACCAAGGGTGGTGGGTTCAAACCTGGCCCTGGCCAAATTGTAACAAAAAAATAGCTGAGCATTGTGGCGGGCACCTGTAGTCCCAGCTACTGGGGAGGCTGAGGCAAGAGAATTGCCTAAGCTCAGGAGTTGGAGGTTGCTGTGAGCTGTGTGATGCCACACCACTCTACCAGGGCAATAAAATGAAACTCTGTCTCTACAAAAAAAAAGAAAAAGAAAAAGAAAGAAAGAAACTAGAAGAGCTTGGGAGCTCCATGTATACCTCTCCTTTCATGTGGGGGCCCCAAATCCCTCCTTAGCCTCCCACTCTAACATCAGCCTTCTCCCTCCCCTCACCCTCTCTATCCACCCTTACCCGTGCAGCACCCCCGCTGTAGCCAGCCTACCCTTCGCCACCTGAGGACCCCCAGAGACAGCAGGAACGGATTGAACAGCGTGGGCCGGTCCCCGGGCATCCGCCATGAGGTCACCAGTCGGCCCTTGAATGGGCTCCCAGCCTTGCCCTCTGCTGGCCTCTTGTCTGCCTGTCAAACAGGGTCCAGTGTTGGCCCCAGGTCCCTTTGGAGGGATGGGGGCATCCCTGGCTAGACTCCCCTGCCCATTCTGTCATGCCCCTCCACAAAGACTCAGGGTTCCCATCTTTCTTCCCCCCCAGAGCTGCGGAGACAAGAGCTGGTTCACTAATTCTCATTACGCTGTGTTTGGCTTACAAGGCCCTGGGCTCAGCACCCTGTAGATGTGCGCCTTACCACCCTAACTCACAAAGTCAAAGCATGGCTGCACAGTGAGGGGAACGCAGATGTGGGTTCTACCCACATGGTGTTTTCAGATTATTTTTCATTGGGTTCCAATGTTAAATAATTAGGAGAGTTGATGTATAAATATATTTCCAGTTCCTCTTAAGATATCTAAAGGTGGCTCGGCGCCTATAGCTCAACCAGCTAAGGCGCCAGCCACGTACACCTAAGGTGGCGGGTTCGAATCCCCAGCCCGGACCCGCCAAACAACAATGACGGCTGCAACCAAAAAATAGCTGGGCGTTGTGGCGGGCGCCTGTGGTCCCAGCTACTTGGGAGGCGGAGGCAGGAGACTCGCTTGAGCCCAGGAGTTGGAGGTTGCTGTGAGCTGTAATGCCACGGCACTCTACCCAGGGAGACAGCTTGAGGCTCTGTCTCAAACCAAAAAAAAAAAAAGATATCTAAAGGTGTAGAAACTCTGAGCCCATCTTCCCCATGAACAACCATCTGGAGCCAAGGGTCACACAAGTGCCCCCAAGCCCATCTGACCCTCAGGGCATTAGGTTGTGACTCCCACTTAAGTAAAAAGAATGAGTTACAGACTTCCATAGATACCCCAGCACCCCCAAATGCTCCCCATTTTAGAGTTATCGTTGTTGGAGAAACCCAGGCCCCAGCACAGCAGAGGGAGGACTTATGCAAAGTCACCTAGAAAGTTACTGGCAGAGGTAGGACAGAGCCAAGGTGTCCCAACTCTGCAGATTCTCTGGAAGCAGAACTTGAAACATCAAAATGCAGGTCCAGAAGGGCTTTGGGGAAAGGAGTGCCGCCACCCTGCTACCACTCCCCCATCATAGCCCTGACCATACAGGGTGCTACTGTCTCATCAGTAGCACCCTAACTCATTGCAGACAGGCACACAGAAGGTGCTCACTAAGTGTACGTGAGTGTATGGAGTGAATGAATGAGGTAGTTGTCAATGCTGTCCAGTTGAAGCTGCCTAGAGAAGGGCTGAGAGATTTTCCATGTCACTGAGACAGCCCCATTTCAAAACTGCCTCCAGGAAGTATGAAGAAATAACACAGAAAGAGGAAGAGCAATGTTGTCAGAGCCCACATGTGGGCTGGGAGCACATTTACTGCTCAGGGTCCCCATCCCCTCCCATGTCACAGATTGGTCCCTTTAGCACAGTGGTTCTCAACCTTCCTAATGCTGTGGCCCTTTAATACAATTCCTGTGGGTCACGACCCATAGGTTGAAAACCACTGCTCTAGCAGTTCTAGCACTCTAAGTGAGGCCATACAGGAGATCAGGGCAGAGCTGGGCAGCAGCATGGTAGGGTAGGGGTCCCACAGCCTGGGTTCTAGTTTGAGTCCAGCCTCTGGCTGCTGTGTGACCTGGAAGAACTCCCCTGCCTCTGTTTCCTCGTCTGCACAATAAGGGGCTGGGCAGAATCCTCCCAGCTCTGATTAGCAGCAGGGCCAGGCCCAGGGACTCCAGGCTGCCAGACAAATATTCTCTGTCACACCTGGCTTTTCAGGAGGTGGCACAGGGAGCGGCAGGACAGGAAAGCACAGTCCCAAACAGTCTGTCTCCTTGTCCCCCGCCTCCCAGGGCCCTCAGCTCTGACCTCACCTCTCTGGAGGCTGAGGGTGATGAGAACAGTCTGTTTGGCAGGTCGCAGGGAGGGCGGGGCAGAGTTGTGTGGCCAGCTGCAGCCAGGCCTCAGAGCAGTCTCCATGCCTCTGGCCCCCTGCACACATCTGTCCTGCCTCCATGGCCCCTCCAGGCCCAGCTGGCTGCAGCACTTCCTCAGCCCTCTTCACTCCTTCTCTTGCCTCCAGCTTCTAAAGCCCTACTTTTGCTCTCAGCCTGGGCTGGCCTTCTATAACCAGAAGAACCTTATCCTCAGAAACCATCAGACACAAACCACTGTTTTCCCAGGGAAAGACATGACCTTTTCAGGGCAGTCTAGCAAGTTAGAAGAAGAGCCCTGGGCTTCTGAATCCCAGGGTCCTCCACCTATCCAGGTCCCTAAGTCAGAGGTGACTCACGATTGGCTCTTTCAGAGCCCCTCTTCACCAGGACCCCCATGCATACAGATAACCCTGTAACAGAGCCAGCCTTGGTCTGGATGGCCTGGAGCTCTTCCAAGGAATTCAGCCCACGTCTGCCTGGTTTCCCTTCCCTTCCCCTCCCCTCCCTATGTGCCCATGCCCATGACCCAACTACCGAGTCTGCCTGTGTCTGGTCAGTCAGGGAATCTGGGCCTCTGCTTGGTTCTGACTTCTCAGGCTCCTCTGTTTGGAACTGGAGAAAAGAAAGAACATAGCTTAGCTTAGCTTATCCCCGGGGCCCACCCATCTATTCACCTTCTCATCTGTCCAATTACCATCCATCCAGCATCCAGCAACAGTAGATCCATGTATACATCCAGCCATTGAATGTGCATCTCATGTTGACCACCATCTCATCTGTCCAACATCACTGTCTGCCACCCATTCCTATAGCCCTCCTGTATTGATCCATCATCTATCCACCCACACAACACCCATGTATCCATCCATCATCCATCTACCCATCCTTCCAATGATCACTTACCATCCATCATCTCATATTTATCCAACCATGTAACATCCATCCATCCATTTCCACCCAACTTCCATCTGTCCATTCATCATTATACACCCATGCATCCCCTAAGCAACATCCATCATAAGTCCATCATCCATTCATCACCCAGCTCTCCATCCATCATTCACTCATCTGACATTTATCCAACACATGTCTATTTATCATTCATCTAACATACTGGGACCTCATCTATCCATCACCCAACCACACAGCCATCATCTGTCGTTCTACCCACTGACCCCTCATTATCTATCTTATTTTTGTTGTTGTTGTCATCATTGTCATTTTGAGACAGAGTCTCACTTGGTTGCCCTCAGTAGAATGTGGTGGTGTCACAGCTCACAGCAACCTCAAACTCTTGGGTTCAAGTGATTCTCTTGCTTCAACCTACCAAGTAGCTGGGACGACAGGCACCCACCACAACACTTGGCTATTTTTTAGAGATGAGGTCTCTCTCTGGCTTAGGCTGGTCTTGAACTAGTGAGCTAAGCCAATCCACCCACCTCAGCCTCCCAAAGTGCTAGAATTACAGGCGTGAGCCACCATGCCTGGCCTTCCTCATCCATCTTGTGTGCACTCAAGCATCCATGTATTCACTGATCAACCATCCACTGAGCTGAGCCCCTCCTTTATGTCAGGCCCGCAGCCAGGGGCCAGAGGTACAGAGATATATAGGCCCAGCTCCTGCCGCCGTGGAGCTATGTCTCTTAAGGGGAAATGACAAACACAGTATGACAGATGGAAAGAAGCAAAACTGACAAGCCCAGAAGGGGACCATCACCAGCTTGGGGTGGGGCTGGGTCAAGTATTCAGGGAAGGCTTCTCAGGACAGGGCACCTGACCTGAGAATTGAACAATGAACAAGCATTTGGAGAGTGAGGGGGGAAGGAAAGAGCATCCTAGGCAATGGGAATAGCAGGTATAAAGGCAAGGACATGTGTGAACACGTGTACAAGGTCCTGTAGCCAGCTTAGCACAACTAGAGGCAGATCTGGGCTGGGAGAAAGGGAAGAAAGCCTTGAATGCCATGCCAAGGATTTTCATAGAGGGAAGCACCTAGTGCTCCTCCCCAGTCATCATCTCCTGGCCTCCCAGGACACCCGAGCCTCACTGTGGACAAACTCCAGCTAAGAGTTTGCCCTTTCTGCCCTCACCTCCCTTTTGACTGGGCCAGCCTGCAGCACCCCAGCATCCACTGGGACACGGCATCTTGTCCTCCCCGAGCTGCCTGTAGTCTACTTGCCTCTCCTACCAGTCTAACGGCAACTTGAGGACAGGACCGAGCTGGCTCATTGCATTTCTGGTGTCTGGCACTGAATTGATTAGAGGGAAATAGGGGGGGCAGGGGAGTCCCCAGTCCTCTTAGAGGCTTCACAATGTGGTGGCTAAAAGCACACTTTGGAGTGGACACTGCTCTTGTTTCTCACAACTTATGTACATGGGGGACTCCTGGCAAATGCCTATAAAAAGCCTGAGCCTCAGTTTCTTCATCTGTAAAATGGAGACAGTGGCTGCTGTCTCATATCTACTTGAACCACATGTGGCAAGACATAAAGCACTGTCCTCAGGGCCTGGCACAGGGAACATGGGGAGGATGTAGCATCAGACCATGCACCCAGGAGATAAGAAGGCTTCGGATGAACAGCAGGAGTCTCCACACCACCCAGTGGTGCTTGCTAGGGAAGCAGTGGGCCTATTCTCCAGGAGACTGAGGCCCAGAGAAGCTGGTATCCAAAACCACATGCTATCCTCATAGGGAGCTGATACTAGGCTGCATGGCTCTGGGTTCCAGGACCCTGCCCCCATACCCTCTCGCATCTTCAGATAAATACTCTGAGGTTTGAGGGAGCACCAAAGTACCACTGAGGTGGGTAAGGGTGAGTACCTACTGTGTGTCAGGCATGTGGCTAGCTTTGCACATGGCCCGCATTTAAGCAGTCTGTCTTGGCAGCCCACTCCACTCAGTGAGCGTTTTTGCAGCCTCTTCTCTGTGTTAGAGAAGAGCTATAGGAGCCACAGAGGGGTCAGTGATGCTGCCCTGGAGTCATGAACTTGGGGTAAAGGATAGAGGGGAGAGGACATGACCTCATTGGCTGCAGTCCCAGGCAGCGGCTGGTACACACTGCCAGACACAACATAAGCAAGATGTGGTAGGGCCAGGAGGGGAGCAGGCCCTGGCCAGAACATCTTGCTTCAGGCCTTCGGGTGGTCTATACCAACCAGACCTGGGTTCCACCTCCCACTAGCTCTGGGATCTTGGGCTTAATTCTGTACCTCAGTTGCCTTTTCCATAAATAAAGAGTGTCTTTCTCATCAGGTTGCTGTGGAGACTAAATGGAGAAAGTCCATGTAAAACATTCAGACTTAGGTTCGGCATGTAGTAAATGCTCAAAAACATGTCGGTGATGACCACTGTTGGGCCAGCTTGGTGGTCAGGGCGGGTCTTGGTAGCAGGGAGGATGAAGTCTAAGCATGCAGGGTGTACAGGAGCCCAGGCTACTCGCAGGGGAGGCCTAAGTCTGGGATGGGCTGACTTTCTGGCTACCTTTGGGAGGTGGGACTGACGTACCTCTAGCTCTGGTAAGCTGGGGCTTCTGCTCGCTGGCTGGTCCATCTGCTCCAGGCCAGCCATAGTGGAGGTCTCTGGTTCACTTGTCACTTTGGTCTTTGGCCACTGGGTGGAGGTGTGGGCAGGGCTGGGCAGCTCAGCTGGGCTCTGGGGCCACTGCCCAGGACCATGTCCATTGACTGGAGTGGCTTTGGCCCAGTCTTCAGGCTGGCTGTGTTGCTCTTGCTCCAGGGCTTCCTTTGTGTCTGGGGGACCTGGCTCTGGCTGTAAAGCCTTGGCCGGGTCACCCCAGTGTCCAGCTGGGTCCTTGCGGGGCAGCCGGGCCTGCAGGAGCTCCAGGAGGCCCTGCCAGTCCAGCCTCGGGAGACGGGCCCACGTGCCTTCCCCAGGTGCCCGGAGAAGGCCCAGTAGGTCAGTCCAGTCAAGCTCAGGGTGCCTCTCAGGGCCAGTGGGTGTCTCAGGCTGCCAGGGTTTTGAGAACTCGGCTGGGCCTGCCCAGGAGCTCTCTGCGGGGCCCATAGGCTGGTGGGGACTCTCCTGCAGGCTGCCCGAAGCCCTCTGGGCTGGCTTCCGGGGAGGCTCCTCCCAGGCCTCTGACTGTCCCCAATGCTCCCTATACTCCCTGGGAGGGCCCTGCCATGCTTCCTCTGGGGCTCTAGCAGCCCCCAGGCTGGGCTCCCCATATCTTCGCCAGCCCCCAGGGTCTGGGCCCTCCTCCTGGCTGCTCCAGCTCCTCTCCTGGGGCCTGTGAGGGCACTGGGACCCTGGTGGTTCCTCCTGACTCTGCCACTCCCCTAGAGGCTGTCTCCGGACTGCTCGGCCACTTTCTGGAGGTCTCTCTGTCCGAAGCTCCCTCTCAGGGGTCCTAGATGGTGTCCTGGGGGACAGCGAGGACCACTGGAGCCGCCGGTCCCCCTCAGGCTGCCTCTCAGGACTCCTGGAATGAGGGGGCTCCGCTCGGCTCTGCCGGGCTGGTTCTGCCTGTTTGGCAGGGGGCTTGGTCACCTGAGGATGAGGTGCGGGAATGGGTGAGGCTAGGTGGCCTCTGCTTGTCATAATCAGGCCCTGGGAGAGGCAAGGCTGTCCACACAGCAGCCTGGATCAAACCAGGTCAAAAAGCACATAGGTTCCCTGGGTTCTCTCTCTCGGGGTCAGCTCTTCCTTCTCACCCACTTTTCACAGTTGCAGAGAGAGATCTGTGAAGAGCTACTCACTCTCCTGGCTTCCCCTCCCCCTAAGATACTGATCCAGCCTGGGGTATCAGGTGCTGGAGTTTCCACCACTGACACCCTGTTCCTCTGTATTGGCCTTGCCCTCTAAGTTTCTTTAGAGTCCCTCCCCAGAGTCCTTAGGGCCAGATTGATGCATCTGAGGCTTTCCCCCAAATCTCAAATAGCAGGTACCTAATAAAAGAAGCGGATAGTGTGGGGGACTATCTTCAAAGGACTAATTTGGCCCTTGGGAAAGGCGGAGAGCCCATGACTGGGGGCTCTGACATATTCATAGGGTCCCTGCCCAGGACACTTGCCTAACACCTAGGGGAAGGGGAGAAGCAGTGGCCACCCCTTGGGGTGTTGGGGCCCTGTGGCACTGCTCACCTGCCTGCTGGGGGCAGGGCTGGACTGTCTTCGGAGAAGTTGGCTCTGACCTTGGCTGGGCCGCTGCAACAGTCCCTCATCCCGGGCCTGGAAGGTCCCCGGTGCCTCGGACTTCCTATGAGCAAATGCAGCTTCCCTGAGGGCCTTTGGGACTATCTCACTCCCGGCACCCCAACCCTCCACTCCCACAGCCACCAGGAGATGTAGGAGATCCAGGGACTCACTGCAAGCCCATTGAAGGACCCTAAGTGAAAGCTGGCCTCAGTTTCCCCTTCTTTTTTTTTTTTTTTTGAGACAGAATCTTATTTTGTTGCCCTCAGTAAAGTGTATCATAGGTCACAGTAACCTCAAACTCTTGGGCTCAAGCGATTCTCTTGCCTCAGCCTCCCAAGTAGCTGGGACTACAGGTGCCCACCACAACACCTGGCTATTTTTTTTAGAGATGGGGTCTTGCTCTTGCTCAAGCTGGTGTCGAACCTGTGAGCTCAGGCAATCCACCCACCTCAGCCTGCCAGAGTGCTAGGATTATAGGCCTGAGCCACCACACCCGGCTATTTCCCCTTCTGAAAAATGGGGATGTTCTGCCTCCGGAGGCTATTGTGAAGCTGATATGAGAAAAGTGGTGAGTAAAGGGGTGGGGGGCCTTGCCTTGGCTGCCATGGCTGCCCCGTCTCACTCAATACTCCCCATCACAGCCACCCCCAGATAAAGGTTAGACTGGTCCTAGTGGGAATTATGATTTATTGAGCACCTCCTGTGTACCAGGCACTGTGCGCACAGAATTATTACGGTAAACATTTATTGAGCACTTCCTATGTTCCAGGCACCAAGCACTTGTATGCACAATCTCATCCCATCTCACACAACCCATGTGGTGGGGACGGGAGAGGCAGAATGTTATGTGTCTTTGTCGTCCATTCTTTCTGTCCTTTCCCTGTCCATATGGTACATTTTGGACTTCTTTGCCTTTGAATAGAGGTCCAGCACTTAGACTTTGAAACGCAAGGCCATCCTACCTATTGGCAAAAGAGCTCCCAGTGAGACCAGTAGGCAGAAACATTCTCTCCTCCCTAATAACTCCACAAAGGCCAACATAAACTGTCCAGGCAAACGTCATTTCTAAGACACCTTGACTCCAGGTGTTGATGCCACATCTGACAAAGAGAATCTCTAACCTGTGTAGAATCTGGTCCTAGGTCATTGCTTAACAATTGGGAGCCACAGGTATTAATATTTAACATGACATCTCCAAAGGTGGGCACATCTCTCCCCTCCCCTGTGTAAGGGAGTCATGAGAAAAGACCCAACTGCCCCATGAATATTTATTTCAATGGAGCTTCTGAGTCTGACTTCATCTCAATTGGTAAATGGAGCCTTTCTCCCTAGTGGCTGAACCAAACCAGGAGAAGCCTGAAAAAGACAACCCTGGATCGCGTGGAGAGCGCAGAATGAGCCGGCAAAATCAAGGTAAGAGGCAGCTCTGCACAGGTGTCCACAGGTGAGACCTGCTCCCCACAGTCATCCTGTAGCCAAGGAACTGTGCTGGAATGATGCAGAGGCTTTGGAGAGTATAACAGTATGGGTTTGGGGCTTGTGTTGTCTTACAGCTTTTGCCAATGTCATTAGAATCAGATTCATAAAGTACAGTAATTTGACTTTTTAGCAACCCTTAGCAACTAATTCAGGGAGGAACCAAAGTTCCCTGGAGTTAAGTGTTTCTAAGCTTGAGGGCTCCATTAGCAGGTTCAATTTTTATTTTAATTTATTCTATTTTTAGTAGAGATGGGGGTCTCATTCTTGCTCAGGCTGGTCTTGAACTCCTAACCTCAGGAATCTGCCTGCTTTGGCCTCCCAGAGTGCTAGGATTACACAGGTGAGCTACTGCACCCAGCCTCAGGTTCAGTTTTTATTTTATTTATTTATTT